CTATCTTTCTTATGAGGGCTCAGTCCGTCTGCAGACAGTGTCCCGGGGAAAGTGGCTGGTCCAGCTGAGGGGGCCAGAAGACTCTAGGAAGTCATTCGTCTTGGTTTACATATGTATCTGTTTGAGTATGTACTGTAAACATATTCATGCGTAAAAGGGGACAAAGTTAAAAATTAAAAAAAAAAAAAAAACCCGCCAAAGCCATTACAAACACCTTGAAGAATTGAGTCACTGGGCTTATAATTTTGGTGGATGGGGAGTAGGCATCAAGGTCAATCAGCTTACTAAAGTCCATAAAGACAATGTTCTATATTGTTTGTGACAATATAGCAACTGGGGTCTTAAACGCATACAACTACTCCTCTAAGATACAACTCACCCAGTCCAGAACAAATAAAAGTGAAGAAAATCAGAGACCCAAGTAGGCAAAGGACTAGTGGACCACATGAACCACAGCTTCCATTAGTTTGTGACCAGAAGAACCAGAGGGTTCCCAGCTACCACTACAACCATTCTGATCGGAATCACGGTAGAAAGTTCTGGATAGAAATGTACACCAAGCACACTAGCCTGTGCAATCACAAGGTGTCGAAGGGATCAGGTATCAGCATCATCAGAACAAAAAATCCTATCATTGTGAATGAGGGGGAGTGTGGAGTGGAGACCCAAAGTCCATCTGTAGGCAACTGGACATCCCCTTACAGAAGGGTCACAGGGAGATGAGCCAGTCAGGGTGCACTGTAGAAACGATGAAACACAATTTCCTCTAGTTCCTAAATGCTTCCTCCCCCTCACTATCATGATCCCAATTCTACCTTGCAAGTCTGGCTAGACCACAGGATGTACACTGGTACAGATAGGAACTGGAAACACAGGGAATCCAGGGTGGATGATCCCTTCAGGACCAGTGATGAGAGTGGCGATACAGGAAGATGGAGGGAAGGTGGGGTAGAAAGGGGGGACTGATTATAAGGATCTCCATATAACCTCCTTCCTGGGGGACGGACAACAGAAAAGTGGGTGAAGGGAGACATCGGACAGGGCAAGATATGACAAAATAATAATTTATAAATTATCAAGGTCTCATGAGGGAGGGGGAGCAGGGGGAGGGGAAATGAGGAGCTGATGCCATGATGAGGGCAATGAGTGTACAATTGTGCTTTACACAATTGATGTATGTATGGATTATGATGAGTTGTATGAGCCCCTAATAAAAGGATTTGTTTTAAAAGAAAAAAAGAAGAAATGTACACCAAAAGGCAAAATTAAAAAGAGACTGGACTTACTGGTCTGCTAGAGATTGGTGGAACCCCTGAGTCTATGGTCCTTAGGCATCTTTCATACATGAAACTGAGCTCCATCCTGAAGACCACCTTTCAGTCAAAAAACAGGAGGCCCATACCAGGCTTCCTCAAACTACGGACCAGCGGGCCATATGCGGCCCACCGAGGACATTCATCCGGCCAGCCGGGTGTTTTTGCCCCGTTTGTTTTTTTAGTTCAAAATAATATGTGCAGTGTGCATAAGAATTTTTTCATCGTTTTTTTTTTTTAAAACTATAGCCTGGCCCTCCAATGAGTCTGAGGGACAGTGAACTGGCCCCCCATTTAAAAAGCTTGAGGACTCCTGAAGTAGACAATCCCACTGGTGAGGAATGTGCTCTTGAGAACCTCTGTACGAGGCCAAAAGGACAGCATTTGCTCTAAGACAAGGTTCAGAAGCAATAAGTGGAAGGAAAGAAGGACAAATGAAAAGAAAAGAGGGACAAATGGAAGAAAGGGGGGAACCCAGGGAGGAACTGGGAAGAGTATTGTTACACTGAGGCAATTTGCAATTAAGGTCACAAGACAAAATGTGTATACATTATTGACTGGGAAACAAATTTGCTCTGTAAACCTGCACTCAAACAACAGTTTTTTGTTTTAAAAAGAAACAACGCTCCCTGGATTACCTACTCCTTTGCCATCTCTATTACTTCATCTACCAAGGAGACTGTGGTTATTTGGTTTGGGGGTTTTTTGTAGTTCTTGTTTGTTTGTTTTTTCTTTGTGCGGGGGATGATAAGCTTATTACATTTCTAACCTGAATAAAGACAGGAATTGACTAAATCCCCCTAATTTAAATTAGATCTCCCATAGCTTACCTTTGAGCAATTAGGGCTTTTCCCCTTTGAAATTCAACACAGCTTCACATTTAACTTGCCTCAGTAAATAGGAAATAATGACCAAAATAAAAATTTAACCCCTTGAAATATGGCACGTTTTAGTGCACATGCTGACCTTTTATCCCCAAATCTGACTCTATTAGCTTATACCGTGCATGTACATCTCTCAACTCAATGGATCAGGTTGTTGGCCTGATTTTCACTCCCCAGTTTCCTTACACCATCACGAAACAAATGCCAGTTTTTCAGCAAAAACACCTACACCGCAGAATTACCTTTATCTTTCCTGACTCAATGAATTCAGCTCTTGATACACAAAGAGTCAAATGAAAATTTTTAAATAAAAAAGACAAATTAATAAATATTTATTCAAATTCTATGAGTGCCTACCATTGTAACTCAGTGCCCTACAACCAATACATTCAAGACACTCTGAATGAGGAAGAAATTTCAGAGCCACATGCTACTTTTTTTTTTTTTAATCATTTTATTGGGGGCTCTTACAACTCTTACCACAATCCATACATACATCAATTGTGTCAAGCACTTTTGTACATTTGTTACCATCATCATTCTCAAAACATTTGCTTTCTACTTGAGCTCTTGGTATCAGCTCATTTTTTCCCCTCTCCCTGCTCCCTCATGAACTCTTTATAATTTATAAATTATTATTTTGTCATATCTTGCACTGTCCAATGTCTCCTTTCACCCACTTTCTGTTGTCCGTCCCCCAGGGAGGAGGCTTGTATGTAGATCCTTGTAAATCAGATTCTCCTTTCTACCCCACTTTCCCGCCACACTCCTGGTATCGCCATTCTCAGCACTGGTCCTCAAGAGATCATCTGTCCTGGATTCGCTGCGTTTCCAGTTCCTATCTGTAGCAGGTACATCCTCTGGTCTAGCCAGATTTGTAAGGTAGAACTGGGATCACGATAGTGGGGGAGGGAAAGCATTTAAGAACTAGAGGAAATTTGTATGTTTCACCATTGCTACAGTGCACCCTAACTGGCTCGTCTCCTCCCAGTAACCCTTCCGTAAGGGGATGTCCAGTTGCCTACAGATGGGTCTTGCATCTCCAATCTGCACTCCCACTCATTCACAATGATTTGATTTTTTGTTTTCTGATGCTTGATACCATGTGCTGCTTTTATAAAAGGGCGCTTTCCCCCTAAAAAGCTTCCATCTTTGACAATATGCTTCAGACAACTAAAGTGCCTTACTGGTTTTCAAACAAAGCAAAGGCATAGACTGAGAGTCAACCGTAGGAACAGGCAATGTTGGTGTCCACAAAGCATAAGCACAGTAACTGGAAAAATACTTACTGAGAACATATCGTAAGGACAAAAATAAGACAAACTAGGCTTAAAATTCAGCAAAAAGGAAAAGACCTTAAAAGTTTATAGTCAGAATGAAAGAATAAAAGACTGACAGTTTTTCTGAAACATAAATATGTTCTACTGAGCCACTAAAAGGGCTATCACCCAAAGATAAAGTTCAAACACCTCAGCGTAAAATACAAAGCCTTCCACAACTGAAGCACATCTACCACTCTGGTCATCCCTCATGGCTTCTTCCACAACCTCCTCTCTTGTCTCAAGGCATGCAAGGGCTCACCTCTTCTGATGGAGACTGGACCAGAATGAAGGAGTATTCTCTCACGGCCTTAAATAATCTCAGGCATGCAAGCCACGGTGAGCACGTATGTAACAGGAAGGGGTTGTATTACAGGCATACATGTAACATGAGGGGCACAAGCTAGGGGTACACATCCAATAGGAAAGGGAGGTGCTAGAGGCATACATGTGGCAGGAAGGCACATCTGCAACAAGATGGGCAGATTCTAGAGTTAAGGTGGCAGTCTAACCTTGGTAGTCTCTGAGCTGGCTTGACTAACGGTGGGACAGACCATAGGGTTTGATTGCTCTTGATGGAAGACAACCTTCAGGCAAGCAGCCTTCAAGCTATTCTTGAAGGTCAACTGCTTAAAGGCTATCTACCTAAAGGTTAGCTGCCATTAAAAGCAGTCAGACCATCTAACCCTAAATTCTGCCTGCTCTCTTCTAATAAGGATTATAGATTATTCCCCTGGAGAACAGTTCAAAGCCAGCTCAGAGACTCTAGACGGCTGACTTGACTCCAGCCTGCCCATCTTGTTAAGCATGTGCCTTCCTATCCCATGTATGCCTCTAGTGCCTCCCCTTCCTATTGCGTGTATGCCCCTAGCTTGTCCCCCTCATATTACGTGTATGGCTCTAATACAACCCCTTCCTGTTAGGCATGTGCTTACCGGGGCTTGCATGTCCCAGATAATATAAGGCTAGTGAGAAAACATTAGTGCCTCATTCTAGTTCCGGTCACAATGAAAGAGGTAAGCCCTTGCATGCCTTGTCTCTTTCTCTCTTTAATGAAACTGAGCCTAAAGCTCTTCCATGTCTTAACTCCTTCTTCCTTGACTTCTTCAGTAAGCTCTCCAGAGAAAGGCTCCTTTATGAAAGAATGATGGGGGAGCGGGGAGGGAGGGGGAAAATGAGGACCTGATGACGGGGGTTTGGATGGAGAGAAAATGTTTTGAGAAATGATGTACAGGTACGCTTACACAATTGATGTGTGTATGGATTGGGATAACAGTTGTATGAGCCCCTAATAAAATGTTGAAGAAAAAAAAAAAAAAAAAGAATGATGGCCTCTTTCTTCTTGGCTAACAAATTGGCTTGAGTGCTATTTTCTTCCCTTTTCTTGAACCAGTGGGCTGGAGTTTTCCTTTACTAATGTGTCTACTTAGAGGCAAGGAAGACTCCAAGGAAGGAAGGGGGGATTCCCTGAGAGAAAGACTCACCCACAACTTCCGGCAGTGATAGATCTGTGTCCTGGGTGGGCACCTCAGACCCCAAAGATGGCTCCTCCACACCAAGCTGATTCCCTGCATCCTCCAAACATTGCATGTCAAGGCCAGCTGCTCTGTCGTGGCTTAGACCCCAGGACAGTGACAATGGCTCCAAATCTTTAACGTGGTCAGATTCCGGTTTAACAGCAGCCTCTAGGTCTAAGTCATCTTCCTCCTGGCTGCCCTTAGTCTGTGAGGACTCTGTCGCTGCAGTTCTTCTCTTCTTACAGGGCAACATTTTAGAAGGCCCACGTTTGTTCTATCCTGTAACGAGAAACGCAAGTTCGTATCACTTCCCTATTCATTGAGATGATAATAACAGTATTTCCTCAAATATCTTTTCACTTATTCATGCCCAATAATGAACACAGTACTTCATACCAAATGCATAATCTTTATTTGGTTGGGAGATGAGAGACTGTAGTCAAGTCCCTGAGTTCAAACCCCAACTCTACTACTGATTGGTTTTGCTACCTTGGCCAAGTGACTTAACCTCTTGGATAAGCTTTTGTCTCCTCAATCGTCAAGCATAACCATTGTAGGGTTGCAGTACAAACTGAATAGGAACTGCTTAGTATTACGTTATTACCATTGAGAAAGGAGGATAGCAGCAGGACGCTGAGGTAACTGTAAAGCTATGTTTCCCAGTCAGCCTTTCCCCAGCTTTGTGACCCTGAATAAATTACTTACCGTAACCTGAAACTCAGCTTTGTCAGATATGAAATGTGATTTTAAAAGTAGCACCTATTGCAGTGCTGCAACGATGAAACATACAACTTTCCTCTAGTTCTTTAATGCTTCCTGCCCCCCACTATCATGATCCCAATTCTACCTTACATATCCGGCTAGACCAGAGGATGGTACATATAGGAACTGGAAACACAGGGGATCCAAGACAGATGATCCCTTCAGAACCAGTGGTGACAGTAGCGATACCGGGAGGGTGGAGTGGAAAGGGGGAACCGATTACAAGGATCTACATATAACCCTCCTCCCTGGGGATGGACAACAGAAAAGTGGGTGAAGGGAGATGTTGGACAGTGTAAGACATGACAAAATAATACTAAATTATAAATTATGAAGGGTTCATGAGGGAGGGGGGCAGGAGGGAGGGGAAAAATGAGAAGCTGATACCAAGGGCTCAAGTAGAAAGCAAATGTTTTGAGAATGATGATGGCAGCAAATGTACAAATGTACTTGACACAATGGATGTATGTATGGATTGTGATAAGAGTTGTACAAGCCCCCAATAAAATGATTTTTTAATTAAATAAAATTAAGTTATAAAACGATTAAAAAACCAATAAATAAAATTAAGTTATAAAATGTAAAAAAAAAAGAAATACTGTCAATGACAATCAAAAGGCAATGTGTGATGCTTTAAAGGAGGTTAAGATATACTAGCAGAAATTTTGGGTTGAAAACAAAGGAGTAATGTAATTGGTATAAGTAATAGATATACCTGAAAAATACTGAATTAGCAAATGTTGTTACATATACGTATATTTATGACTTTTTAAATTAATTTTATTGGGGGCTCATACAACTCTTATCACAATTCACATATACATCCATTGTGTCAAGCACATTTGTGCATTTTTTTCCATGATCATTTTTAAAACATTTGCTTTCTACTTGAGCCCTTGGTATCAGCTTATCCCCCACTTTTTTAAGAAAAAAAAACAAGCAGAGATCTCCCCACCCTTTGTACTACATGTATTATTTCTATGTGATGACTAGAATTCAAGAATCCGACCTGATCTAAACTAGAGGGCATGCTCCAGCATCTGTTAAACTCTGTGCATGTCTATTTTCTGCCCATCTCCCTGTTCCAAAAGAATAAGCTTTTTAGGAAAAGGTTACTTTCAACTAGCATCCCTCAAATCTAGTCGCTAACTGGCCTGTTCAGGGGATTAAGGGTTTCCTGTACGAATGTTGCAGCTTCTTATTCTGTGCTCCAGAGCAAGCCTTTGGAACCAAAAGGTTCAGCATTATCTGAAAACTTTCTTCCCGGAAAAAGTTTACTCTCCGTTACATAAAACCAAAAACAGAAGAAGCTCCCGTTCCCTGGCAAAGTTTAAGCCACGTCTGAATGCCCACCACACTTGCAGAAAGCTTGAAACTAAACAGCAAAAAGTCTGTTGCCAATCCAGTCCATTCCGACTCACAACTAACCTGGTAGGGCAAAAGGAGAACTGTCCACGGGGGCTTATTTCAGCTTAGGGACGCAAAACCAAAACTCCCTGCCAGGGAGTCGATCCGACATATAGTAAGCCCCAACGGCTGCGACAAACCCCTGTGGGTTTCCGAGACTGTTTACCCTGGCCGGAGCACAGAGCCTCAACTTTCTCCCCAGGCGCGGCTGGTGGGTTCCAACTGCGGACCTTGGGAATAGCCTACAACGTAACCCACTATGCCACCAGGGCTCCCTAAACGTGGGCCAGCGAGGGCTGAAAATCCTAAGTTTTCGAACTCCGGAGTCTGAACTATCAAGTCGGTTTTGGTATGGACTTAGTTCTCCGGGACTCTGGGGGAGACTGCATCTGGGTGCTTGGGGCTGCATGCACAGGTGGCGACTCCGCGTGGATCCCTGAGAGGGAGGGTGGGCAGCGGCTGAGGAAGGGCCAGGAGTAGCGAGAACGCGGCCGCGGCGGGTCCTTTATTTCACAGATGAATTAATTACACGACGTGAGGTTCGGAACAGAAAAGGAGGGGGACAGGCAGCTACCATCCAAAGTCAGCAGCGTGCAGGGCTCGACTCCAAGCATCTCAACCAGCAGCAGCTTCCCCAAACATGCCATCTGCGGAGGGGCTCCCAACTGCGCTGCCCCCCGCGCGCCGAGCCCCGGCCGCGTCCCCACTGTCAGCTCCCACCTCACGGCCCTACCTTCTAGCGTGCACGCCGCGCCGCCCTCGGACGCGGCCCCCTCAGCCCAGGCATCCTGCGCCTCACGCACTGCCCGCTTCCCCTGCTTCTTCCCGCCCCACAACACACAACGCAGGCGCCCCCTTACCGGCCGGCCGGATCCCGCGGAAACGCGCCTTCAGCGCCACCGGAAGTCGGCTAACGGCCGCGGCCGACGTGCGCGCCCCCGCGCCGAGGCGCGCGGACTCCAGCCCTCAGGGAGCTTGCGCGGGACGGCGGGACCCACGCCGCTTTGGGGCGGGCTGAAGCCGCGTCGGCAGCACGTCACTTGTGGGCGAACATTTTTAAAGTCCTCCTCTTGCCCCTGGGAGTCCGCAGCCACCGGGTGGCAGTGAGTTTGGTTGAACTCTTTCCCCGCCCTCGGTACGATCTACTAACAATTAAGCGTTACGATCCAGTGATTTCGTTTCACAACTAAGCCTTCGCGCTGCGAGATACCAGGAATACGGGACCAAGTCAATGGGAAATTCATAAAAAGTCAGGAGGAATCCCTGACTTAGAAATGCAGGTACAAAAAAAATGAAAAGAAAAAAAAGAAGTACAGGTACTAGGTCGGCCAGTGTAAAATATGACAAAATAATAATAATTTCTAAATTATCAAGGGTTCACGAGGGAGGGGGTAGCCGGGAGGGAGAGGGAAAATGAACTGATACCAAGGGCTCAAGTAGAAAGCAAATTTTTTGAGGACGATGGCAACAAATGTACAAATGTGCTTGACATGTAGGGATTACGATAAGAGTTGTACAAGCCCCCAAGAAATTTTTTTTTTTTAAAGAAAAAAATAAATGCAGATACTGCAGTTCCCTGAGCAATGCTCTGGAAGTTTTTACCTCGATTCACAATTACAGTATTCCTGTCTGCCTAGGAAACCCTAGGGGGGCATCCTACTCTGCCCTATAGGGGCGCTTGAGTCTGAGTAGACAAAGGGGTAATGGGCTTGGAGTTTTGGTGTGCTACGCTGCATTTTACAAAATGGTTTCACATCTTATCCTAAGTGATTTCGTATCCACAATACATTCTGTGCAACAATGGATGTGAAGATATCTCCTTCCAGTTCTTACAGGGCAGAGTTTTGTTTCAACTTTGTGAATGGTTTCTATGTAACTACCAAACGTTCCCTCCCAATCTAGCCCCCCGGCTGTAGTACAGTAGTACATAGCCTGTCCACTGCCCTTGATCATGGTCGTGAGTTTTTTTTAGGCACTAGCCTCCTCTGTGAGCCCAGCTAGCTGTAATAAAAAGCGTATTCTTTCATTTTAAGAAAGTGATGTGGTTTGATCTCGCTCTGGCATTGCACCTCTGGCATAACTGATTTTCAATAATGCTATACGGTATTTTGTATCGGTTAAAGTTGGACAGGTGTATCAATTCTCTATTTAAAGGTGAAGCGCCAAGAATTATATACACATTTCCGTATCTTGAACCGATCCTGTCTATAAACAAAGTAACAGAACCCAACAAGATGACAGTATCCATCATCAAAATGAAAGGTGGAATCGATATCATGCTCGAGACAACTGCCAGTAGTTGGACTGCAGCCTGAATCACACCCACTCATCGTTCTCCGAGAGCCTCCAGTGGCCTGGAACCACCCAAGCAGCCCAGTGCTTAAACCACTGCACAACCAGGGCTGTGAAGTTTCCATTGTGTCCTACTTCCAGCCTGGCCCCTCTCGCTGGCTCTCCTTCATTTCTTTCTCTCTCCTCACTCTCTCTCAGCAGTTCTATGCCCTTGAGACTCCGGAGAAAGAAATACGCAAGTCTTCCTTAGTCTCGAACAAACAAAAAAACCCACTGATTTATACCCACAAACGCCCTCCATTTTACGTATAAGATTAAGAGATTTTTAGTTAGCGATCAGAGTTGTGAAATTAACACCAAGTTTAGTTTTAAAATCAGCTCCCTGGAGTTAAAGAAAAGTTCTTTTTTTTTTTTGAAGAAAATTTCTTTAATAACCTTTAAAGGTCTCAGGAACACATAAAGTAATGGCGATTGATATGGACTGGATAGAATTTTGTTGTTTTTCCGAAATCGCAGGTTTCCTCTCACCCAGAACATTCTGCTCCTATATTCATTAAGCCCAAGGAAATAGAATCACCAGGGCTACAGGATCCCAACACCTTCCTTTCACAGTCCAGTCCCTCGGTAGGCGGAGCTTCGTTCTGGGCGGTGGGAGGGGCGTCCTTCCGGATAGCTTCCGGAAAGGGGCGGAGCCAGCCTTCCGGATCTATTCGGACGGAGGTGGAGTCTTCTCGCGAGGGCTGTTCGGAAGAAGGCGGAGCCTACCTCGCATCAGGACCAGTCTGGCTGCACCTGCATCCTTAGCTCAGAGCATCCCAGGAGCATTTTAAGAGACGACGACAGCAGCTGGCCAGCAGGGATCGGACAGTTGCAGGAGGCGTCCGCCAGATACCTTACCCCTCTCCTGACCTAGCTCTCCACAGCAGCAGCCCCTGAACTGGTCAGGGGATCCCAGAGTTGCCTGATTACTGCAAAAGCACTTACAGCAACAACCTCTGATTACGACATGGCTGAGATCACCAACATCCGACCTAGCTTTGGTGAGTAGCGTAATCATCGGGGGGCCTTTGGGGCCGAGTGCTGGTCAGGGAGTGAAGCCCAGACTGCAGGTGCCAGCCCCACTAGAATCCGGCCTGTGGTGGTGAATAGGGGCAATGGACAGCACCTAGATTTGAACTGTGGGCTGCAGGAGCTGGCACGGCGGGGTGGGGTAGTCCAGGATGCTAGACCCTTACACGGTGCCTTGTCGGCGCTGTTGGTGGTGAGAAATAGCCTGCGGAGCACGGAGGACTTGAACCCCTCCTTCTGGAAGAGGAGAGGTGAGGTAGGCCGAGCCCTCCCCTTGGGGCACGCAGGGCCAGGGCGGTGTCCCTTCCTCCCCCTCCCACCTTTCAGGGCTGCGGGGAGGGAGATGGCAAGGGGGATGGGGCATCAAGATGGCAGCTTAGGGGCCATGCAATGTAGGGCTGGTAGCCAGGGGAGGCTAAGGTTTTTGGGTAGAGATGGGCATCGGGTAGGGGTGCAAAAAGCAGGCACCACTTAAGCCAGTTAGCTGGGTGCTTGCGCTGGGAGGAAACCTGAGCCTGGCTGCAAGCTCCATTCTGCACCGTAATGGTGGGGTCCTTCAGATGCTCCAAATGGCGCTTGGCGCTGCTGGTTGGGGGATGACGTGATGCCTATTTCTGGGCCTCCAGGCAGCGCCTCGGCTCTCCTCCCGGGGCCTTTGTTCCCGGTCGCCCTGGGGCTGGATTTTCAAATAAGGGGACTCACCCGCGCTGGTGCAGGCTGGGGCCCTGATCCAGGCTGGAGGGGGAGGGGCGCGAGAGGCCCAGCCCGGAGGAGGCTGCTTTGTGTACCAGAGAAAGCATTACGTCATCTCGGAGCCACCGGTCCCCGACCCAGCCTTGTGGATTCCAAGTTCCTTATACTCCCTGGGACAGAGAATGGGGTCGAAAATAAGAAGGAGAGAAAGGAAAACTTGAGAAACAAGTTTTTTCCTCTTTGGGGCAATCCTGCAAAATGTGACAGGGAAGCCATCAGCTTCCTGTGCTGCTTTCCTGGTGGTCAAAAAAGACAATCGCCTCCCGCTCTTCTCCATGCTACCTCAATTAAGACTGTGAGAGCCAGGAACAATTGCTGACAATCTGGGGCTCTGTCCTCTCCTCTAGGGAATTCGACACCTCAGACAATACTGATCGCTGGAACACCTAGATTCAAAGATGTGGTGGGGGGCGGACTCAATACTGCTGGGTAATGGCTTGTCTCACTTCCCAGTCAGACATACATGGAAATGAGCAGAACACAGTGCTGGACCCTGTCCATGTCAGCAAGGAGACACTGGAGAGGGGAAAGTGACCAGACAACAGATCTTAACACTCCTTGGCCACTTCATCCCACCTCCTGATCTCATTTCATTCTTCCACACCAACTCCTGCACCTCTGCCCGTCTAGTCCCACCTACATTCCCTGGATTAGAGACGACAAGTACCTCCTGCTTCTCTTCCAACCCTTCCTTTCCCTTTGTATGTCATCTGCCAACGAATGCCTGCCTTGAATTGCTCCCAATTCCTTGGAAAATTAAGTGGTGTGGAGCATGATGCAGTGATGTCTTTTGGAGGAAATAAAAGTAGAAGAGGAAAAAGAAATTAGGTCTGCCTTTCACAAGCTGAATTTGATTTTGTCCTTACAAATATTTTCTTGTGTGCATGTCTTATAATATACAATGGCATGTGTCTCTATTTGCCAGATGAAAGGACTGAGCTTCAGTGAGATAGGCGAGCCTGCTTAAAGCTAAGCAACCTAGTGAGGATTTCAAACAACAGCTGGTGGACGGCAAAGTTAACTCTTTGGCATCACAGTGGCTTATCGGACAGGGGAAGGATACATTTAGGAAAGGAACTATCAATAAGCAAGGTTGGTTAGAGGCTAAGAGGATTAGGCATAGCTCGGATGTATCTTGCATGTCCCCAGACCTACAAAACCATGACTCCTGATTTTGTCGTGTCTTCTAGAGCACTTCATTGTAACAAGATAGAGCTTGAGCAATACACCAAGCCAAGACGCAAATGCCCGTGACCTTGGAGGAACAAAGGGAGCAAAGAGCACAGGTCACTGAAAAATACAGCTGCCCTCAAACACTCACTTCAGGCATTAATGCCCATTTCTTTTCTCACCAAACTTTTCACTAAAACAAGGTCAAGAGAGCTCTGAGTTTCAGCATCTTGTATTTTATTTTACTTCATTTATATATAACTTTAGCTTTTATTGTAGCATCTCGTATTTTACTACTTCACTGCCTTGGGTGTGGAAGAGAAAGTTGGGGTTAATCAATACTAAAACAATGAAGCAAGTGGGAAATGAATAGATAGCCCACCAAGGGGTCCGTCTCTCTCCCTTCTTCCACTTCTCTGCCTCCCTGAGGGTGGAGAATCTTTCATCTTCTTTCTTACTCATTCCACCTGTGTTTTGTAACAATAAAAGTAGATTGAGTAGAAGTAGCAGTGGTTCCCTCAAGTTCACAGAGTAAAGCTGTGGTCGAGCTAGGATGGCCCAGGTATCTCCCAACTCAGGCCTTTAGATATTCCTTCACATAATTCTCAAGAAGCATACCTGTGGTTCTAGGCTCTGCTCTTCTCCTAGTGACCGTGTTTGATTTCACTAATCAGCAGCAACTGACATGCAGGAAAGTCCCTGATTGGTAAACGGACAGCATCATCTTGACCTAGTGCTAGAAGACCTCAAGCCCCCCTACCCCCCCCCAGCCCTCCCCAGGGGTTTGCTACATTTTATGGAGGTTTAGTTCTAGAACCTGATTGCTCTTATCTACAGGTGACCCTCAGGCATAGTGAAGTAGCCAACAAAATGATTTATTTATTATGGTAGCTCCTTTAAGATTGCTCCTCTCCTAAAAGAAAAATAAAAGATTGTTCCTTAATGGAAGGCTATTTGGGGGTGGGGGGAAAGCGGCCCACAATGGGGATCTTTCTCAAAATAGGGCTAGGGCTAGCTTTCCATCCCCCTGGTGGCGAGCGTAGAAATAAAGTCAAATACTTTCTGCCAAGTCCTTCCTCAGTTTACCACAATCTAGTCTAATCATCATGGACACAATCCCTCATAGAATAGGTCTGACCAGTCGTGATCCAAACTGTATGGAATTTTTCAGTTGAAGACTCACTGCTTCAGGACCTCTGAGGGCCATAATAGACAGTTCTAATAATATTGTCACTCCTTTCACGGAGTCAAAATCCATCTCCTGGTGGCCCATAGACTTTGATGCTAGTCCTGCCTTCCAAAGGAAGATGAAATCAAAATGGCTTTAATTGATGGGTCTTATTATTCCTAGACCATGATTCCTAACTCAGTTCCTCCGTGTCCTTACGTAACAGCGTTCGTCTACACTAGGCCTAATCTACAGTGTGGACCCTGGTGTCGGGTCAACGCAAAACCAAGCTCCCTGCCATCCAGCTGATATCTGCTCATAGCAACCTTAGGGGAGAGAGGAGAACTGATTGCCAACGTTGATTGATGAGAGTAGAAAGCTTCATCATCCAAGGAGTGGCTGATAGGTTCCAACCGCTGACCTTGCAGGTGGCAGCCCAAACACATGACCCACTAGGGTTTAAATTCCAGCACGTCCCTTTGCTAGTGTGACCTTGTTCAGATTTCTGAGTATCAAGGTTCCTTGGCAGTAAAATGGTGATATTAATGGTACTTTTTTATGAGGTTTTTAATTCGTACAGAAGAAGTTCTAGCATGGCAGGAACAGGGTAAACACACACACACACACACACACACACACACACACACGCTAGACCAATGTGTTGTGACCAGTGCACATGGATTTGTATCTCTCCTGTGAGTTAGAGATTGCATTCCTAGTATGAGGTGGCATTCGCCTAATGATAGTCCAGGCTTCCAGCCACCCAAACTATGAAGTCATTTTTGCAGAAATGATTGTCAAGTGATATCGCCCATTGCCTACAGATAGGTCTTTAAGCCCAAGAAAAACTGACATTAGTCCCTATTATGTGTCCTCATATTGACTTTATCTTCTTTTTCTAAACTGTGAAGGCCAGGTTGATTTTATAACTGGATTGTTCTCTGAACACTTCCTATATGTCACACGATTCAAGGACCTGGAATGTAATCATGAAGGAATCAGACAAAATCTCTATTCTTACCAACTTAACTAATGAGGGAAGAAACACAAATAACCAGTTGTCAGGGTAACCAGTACATAAAGAAAAATAAAACAGGGTGCTGAGATATGTGAAATCCTGGGGCAGTCAGAGAATGCTTTTCTGGTAAGCTGAGATTTGAGCAGAGGCTAGCAGCCAAGGAGGGAGTGAACCATGCCGGTATCTGGTGGCTGGTGCACCAGGCGGAATCTGGAATGCACTGGAATTGTGTTTATTTCCTCAATTCTCTGTTCCTACCCGGCTTTTCCCTCAAAAAATCCTCTGGAAAACTGTAGGCATGTTAAACGTCCAGGTCTAAACCTAATTGGACTTCAAAGAACTTGAGATAGAAAGACCAGACCTACATTATCCAAGCCAGGGACCTAACTGTTGTGGGAACAGACAAGACCAAAGAGAAGGAAAAGAACAAACTCCGTTGCTCTCATGTTGATGCTATTAATTTATTCAATAGATACATATTAAGTAGCTGCTATGTGGCTTCAGTGCTTGGGATGCAACAGTGAATCAAATAGACAAAAATCCCTGTTCTCATGACGCTTACATCCGAGTGAGGAGAAGGCAACAAGTAGACAACACAACGATCAGGAGGCGCACACACAGGGTCAAGTCAGGTTCTGGTTCAAAGAGGCAGGCGCTATAACTCGGCGCTGCCCCCGTGGGTGAGAGCGGAGTCTCTCAGGAATACACTCGCCTTAGTCTCCTTGGGGTGGCTTCTGAGGCATCTGCTGGGCCAGGTACATTCACGGTAGAGAGGTTCGTTCGGGGAGTTAGGGAAATTGTTTGGGGTCATCCTGAAGCAGTCATCATGACAGATTTTCTCAAAGGACACAGGACACTCACAGGGGCTAATTAGCAAGTTTCAGGAAAATGGAAAGAAAACTACATTGGTGAGAGGTAAAAAGAAGCCAGGAAATTTGCTCCAAGAAATGTTTTCCCATCCTGGCTATTCACCTGCTCATTCTTTGAGGGTAACAAGGGCTGTCCTTTGAAAATTTATCTGGGAAACCTTATCCATCCATCCTGCAGCCTTGATCTTGCTCCTCAGACTTCTTTTATTCCCAAACTCAGCGAGCATGTAACAGCACCAGAATGCTCTTGCCAAGACCCTCGTTGTGAGTCGGTATCCATTGAAAAGCGTAGAATTCTTTAGAGAAGAGTTAGAGAGGTGGGAACGCCGCCTGCACTGGGGGACATTTGAGAAACAAAATCTTCACACTGTTGCTATTGTTTTGTTTTGTTTTTGACTTCTCCTATGTGTTTGTGCACCATATATATATATATCCCATGGTGACAAGGCATGTAATACAAACAGAACTAAGAAGGGTGAGTGGCAGTTGTAGAGAAAGAAGGTGATCCTTCTAATACAGGAATAAGGAGGACCCTACTGACATGTGAAATTTTCCAACACCCCTATTTCTTCCTTTTCAGGATACTTCTATTTTAAATACCTAAGCATCAAGGTGGAATGTCGAAACAAATTTATAATAATGTGAATTCCAGAATTCTCTGTCTCCCACCCATCTCTACCATCCCTGAGCAACCCCCACTAAATTTCTCTCTCATCTCTATCAACTGGACCTTCCTCCATTCCGCCCTATCAGCAGTCAGCACTGACCCACTATCTTCAAATCCTGTACTGGATGTTGTAGACTAGCCTCCTGAACCCAAGGACACAGTTTGTGCCCGTGTATAACGGTTGAGGTGAACAGGCTCCGGTGTAAAAAGGTGACCTTAGAACACATAATGGAGACACTTTATGTGAAACACAAATCAATAGAAGCAACCCAAGCCCATAAATACTGAGGGAAGGTCAAGGAAAGAACCAGGCAGGTGTGCTAAAGAAAACAAAACATCTCAGCTGGGTTGGGTGGGGAGGAGGAGCCAAGAGCATGGGGGGGGGGGTGGGGGTGCGCTCTAAAGCTCAGATGAGCATGCTTGGCTTTAAGGTGTAGACTACCGATTTGTTTGGTAGCTTTGAAGCAGGCAGTGGGCTTGGGAGTTGGGGGTCAGGGGATGGCATCTACCTGCCTTGATGTGTCTCTGGTCTCCACCTTCAGATATGTCACCGGTCGTGGCCGGCCTCATCGGGGCCTCTGTGCTGGTGGTGTGTGTCTCGGTGACCGTCTTTGTCTGGACGTGCTGCCACCAGCAGGCAGAAAAGAAGCACAAGACCCCACCCTACAAGTTCATTCACATGCTCAAAGGCATCAGCATATACCCAGAGACCCTCAGCAACAAGAAGAAAATCATCAAAGTGCGGAGAGACAAAGATGGCCCTGGGAGGGAAGGTGGACGCGGGAACCTATTGGTGGACGCCGCAGAGGCAGGCCTGCTGGGCCGAGACAAGGGTCTCGGAGGCCCTCACTCTGCGTCTTGCATGGACCAGTTACCCATTAAAGTAGACTATGGGGAAGAACTGCGGAGCCCTGTCGTGAGCCTGACCCCCGGGGAAAGCAAGACCACTTCTCCATCATCTCCAGAGGAGGACGTCATGTTAGGGTCCCTCACCTTCTCCGTGGACTATAACTTCCCGAAAAAAGCTCTGGTGGTGACAATCCAGGAGGCCCATGGACTGCCCGTGATGGATGACCAGACCCAGGGCTCAGACCCCTACATCAAAATGACCATCCTTCCTGACAAGCGGCACCGGGTGAAGACCAGGGTACTGCGGAAGACCCTGGACCCCGTGTTTGATGAGACCTTCACCTTCTACGGCATCCCGTACAGCCAGCTGCAGGACCTGGTCCTGCACTTCCTCGTCCTCAGCTTCGACCGCTTCTCCCGGGACGACGTCATCGGGGAGGTCATGGTGCCCTTGGCTGGGGTGGACCCCAGCACAGGCATGGTACAGCTGACCAGGGACATCATCAAGAGGAACATCCAGGTGAGGAGGAAGTTTGTGTTGGGGAAGGGGTGGCAGGTTGGGGTAGACAGCATCTCGGGGTAGGAATGGAGTGGGAGTGGGACGGGTGGCCAAGAGGGGTCTTGGAGAAGAAGTTCTTGGCTGGAGGACCTGGGAGGGGACGTCGCCTCCCCCTGGGGAGTCACTTCCTGAGGGGAGAGTAGCATGTGAAATTTTCTTTAGTGATTGGTATCTGGATGCTGTATTCATCTTGAATGGAGCAGGCTGGCCCACCGCTCTCGGCCCTTCCTTCACGTCATGGATCTAGGAGTTCATTTTCTCGCAAGCATGTCCAGTGAGCTGGTCTCCCGCAGTTGCGAAATTATGAAAAGAGTGCTGTGAACTTCTCCTCCCCGTCCCTTCCCCAGTCCAAACCTGGAAGTAGAAAGAGTGTCATGTATATGTCTTGAATAAGTTTAGCAGACGTAGATGAATGCATTGCTAGAACCTTCTGACATTCCACCTAGGCCTGAACTTTAGCTCTAGGTACCCCTATTCCTCCTTCCTCTTTCTCATTGTATTCAAAAGGGGAGAGTCTTCCTGTCCTGCATTCTCTCCGTCTCTCTCCATTCACTTCCTGACCAGACCAGCATTGGGTCTTCAGCAAGAACGTATCCCTTCCCCTCCCCACCTGCACTCCTTCGTTCATGCTTCCCAGTGGGGAGGCAGTCCAGTGCTGTGGGCCAACACTCTCTCAGGGGCTGAGTTTCCATTCTCGTTGACAACTTCCCAGCTGTGTGGCACGGATGGGTTACACACCCCTTTAAATCCCACTCCTGGTCTGTACAGGAAGAGGATACTATACTCCCTTTCAGGGTTAGGAGGATCAAATGAGATAATACATCTGGCACATGAGACCCTTGAGGACCTTTCCTGCCAGGTGAGGGGACAGAAACAATCTTGGCACTGACCGGAGAGCGAGTGTGGTCAATCCTATGAAGGAAGTTGTAGAGATTTCCCACTTTAAGTTAGTGGTTGACAGTAAGGGCTTTGAAAACAAGAATCCAAATTCTACCAGCTAAGTGACCTTGGACTTAACTTGATCTGATGTGCTCACGTAGTACATTACATAGTAAATTCTGAATAAATTTTAACGATTACTATTCTTCCTGTTATTCATAGAGCTTGATCTCTATGTTATAAATGTGGTTTATAGCTACTTAGATTTTTGCTTTGACAGAGAAATGGACGACAAGGGAGGCTCAAATCAGTGGAGAAGACAGCAGGGTTCAGACAGGATTATCACAGTCACTAAAAACAACGACACCTCTCTCAAAAAGAGCCCTGTCTAGGGGTTCCAACCTGATGCCTTTGCCATCTGCAAGCCCAAACTGGCCTCTGTGGAGAAGTAGGATGCCCAGGATTAGACAGCAGAGGCTCCCAGGTCAGCAGGCGTGGAGTGTAGTGAGCTTCAGGGAACAAGGTTTGCCACTGAAGAAGGGCCAAGCCTGGGAGGAGAGACAAGAAGTCAGTCCCCTCTGGACCTATGTCCCTGCCTCCCTGCTGCCTACGAGGCTCTGGTTCTTCTGCAGCCACCCGGACCGTGCCATGACCCAAGCCACTTCTACTTTCACGTGGCAAATCCTGCTCCACCTGACGGGCCAGGGAAGCCCAAGAATTTTAAAGACGTGTGAGAGGCGCTTCAGAATGCACAAGGCACTGGTTCAGTCCCAGGATACAGTGAGACATCCTAGAGCCCAGCACAGCAGGGTGGACAAACGACAGCACAGCACTGATCTGGTTCGCTGCTCCCCATCTTTTTTCTTCCGGGTTCTGCAACATCCCCTCCCGTGTTTCTTGATCCCACTGGAAAGGCTCCAGTGCCCCATCCCCTGCCTTCTGGGAGGGTCCCTTCCAACACACCCTTCCCTAGGACCTTGGCAAAGCCACCAGCTTAACTGGACTTTTCCAGACGGCCCGTGCACTCCCACCCAAGCCTGGGGGATAAAGAACGGCTCTGTGCCAAGCTGTAGCTGGGGAGAAACTGGCACAAGAAAGGGCTGGTTTGGGCTGGGAATATACAGCCTTCAGGGGCAAGCATGGGGGCAAGGCGCACAGACAATAGCATTGACTGAACAGCCAGGGGCTCTTGGCAAGAGCCACGTTTCTTTCCACTTTATTAACTCCCCTGGGAGCAATCCCTTGCAGGAGCCTGGGCAGCCCCACCCCAGGGTGGCGCAGCCCATTTCCACATGCGCCCATCTTTCCCCGTGTTCCAGCCCAAGCCACGGTGGCCAGCTCCTGGCTGACTCAGCCCCGTCGTCCCTGAACAGCACGGCCTCCAACGTGTGCACCAAACCCTCCTGCTCCCGCAGTCTGTCCTTTCTGGATGTCCCCTTCAGGACTAGTCCACGCCACCCATAAGAGCCTCTTCCTTGGTGCAAGGTGTTTTCGTTATCATTTGAAGCCAAACTGTGTTCCTTCAAAGCTGCTTAGGGGAAAACTGGTGAGAATTTCATTTCTCTATCACTGCCCTAATTTCCTGGCGTTTAGCAAAAAATAAAAAATCATCAACATCATGATCGTCCCTGTGCTTCCCATTACCCTGTGGGAAAAACCCACGGCTAGTGTTCATGTCTGACTGTTTCTCTGCATAATGCCCGACAAGCAGGGCCTCAGTTGTCCTCGCGCTGTACTGCGAAGGCCAGTGGGTCACTTTGTCAGTGCACACTCAGCTGTTACACAGGAGATAGAGGGTGAAAAACTATTGAAAATTAGCCCTTGATGACTAGCAAAAGGAGGTTGTAGTATAGACTCTACAGTAGTGTATCATGTCTCCAATCTCTCCATTACACTTTGGGACTTTTTATATCTAAAAGAATCCTTTATACATGTAAAGATTAATAGAGACAGATATGAATACATTATGAATAGAAATGTAATCCAGTCTAGCTTTACATATATATAAAGCTGCCCCATTACATAAATTAGAGGGGAGACATTTATTTTCTAAGCAAGCACGGGCGCGCGTGCGCACACACACACGCTCAAGCTGGGTTTTGTAAAGGAGCCCTGGTGGCGTGTGAGGCATTGGACTGCCAACTATGAGGTTGAGGGTCAAACCCACCCGCCACTCTGGAGGAGAAAGATGAGGCTGGCTGTTCCGGAAAGATGTTGTAAACCTCACAATGAACTTGCGGGACAGCAGTGGGTTTCAGCCTTTCTAACATTTTATTCAGATGGAAATTTCCATTCCCCTCTGAAGTCCCCTGTGAGGCGAAAGGTGGTCGTGCAGGGGGGCTGGAGGATAAAGAGGAGAGAGTGGGGGAAGTGGTTGAAAAGAGAGCTAATCATAGAGCTGGGTAATAGAGAGTCCTTGTTTTCCAAACCACTTCCTGCCTCTGTGCTCTCCAGCGCGGGCATTGATGACCCAGGACAGTGGCTATGGGAATGAGAAGATGGGAAAATCTCAGCGTTAGTAGGAACCGTAGAGGTCATCCAGTCTAGCCAGATGGCACAGAAAAGAAAGGGAAAGGAATGTTGATTCCCGGGAGCAGTTTAAAAAAAAAGTCTCTGCGTCTGGCAGGGAGGGAAGAGGGGAATTGTGGTGAAATGTTAAGGGTTTTGTTCCATTTGTTTTCCCATGGTTGTGATTTAGGGGAGAGGTGGCCCTGAGGGCTTTTGGCTCCTGTAAAGCTTATTGAGGGCTCGCTGGTCCACCCATTGCTTCGGCTCTGTGGCTAGAAAATCACTCTGGAAGAGGCGCTGCTAATTGTAGAAAATAGACATTCCTCCTCTGTTTCTTTCATCTGAATGTGTCCTTTAAGACCAGGCCCCTGTTCTTTTCCACTGAGCAGAAAGGCGGGGGCCCCTCCGAGAACAAAGTTCTCCCAGCTCTGTCAGGCATGGATAAAACCTTTTCTTCCCCTGTCCTTCTGCTTGCCTGCCCTCCAACAGAGCCTTGGCCTCCCTGGGCCACGGGGCTGGGAAACAGAACTCGCTCCCAGCCCTCAATGGCTTTTTTCTTTAGAAAGAGCCATTGAAAGTCCAACTTGGAATGGGAATTGGGTGGAAAGAGAAGGGAGGGGGGATGAGGGAATGCTAAACTCAGGCCGTTCATGGAGCATGGGATGGGATTCAGGTAGTGTGGCTGCAGACTTCGGCTTCACAAAGGGGCACTTGGATGGTGATGGCATTTTGCCACGTGAACTGGCAAAAGGTAGAGGAGAGGGGTTCAGATGGAGAACATTTGTCTGAGGAGTGATTTTAAGTGAGAACCTTATATAAAAGGTAACCAGAAACTGTCTACTTTTCCCAAGAAGTAGGCGTGAGGGAGGTGTGGGGATGTAGGGTAGGAAGAGTTTGTTATAATGGGTGATTTAGGGAACCCCATCTGGAATCTTATAAATCAATGTTATTCTTAGGAACAAACCTTCATTTTCAAATCAAATGTTTACCTCCACCGATCCTGCTGAATATAAATTAAAAACAATATAGTTAATACTTAGTCTGTGGTCAATGATAGGACCGTGTATCAGATCTAGTTAACACTTCATCACTCATACAAGTTTAGGGAAGTGGTGGTCCGGACAATCCCAAGGTTCTTTCTGGATTAGTGCTGCCCAGTAGAATTTTTTTATGATGATTGAAATGTCTACCTGTGCTTTTCTGTATAACAGTAGCTGACGGTGGCTCATGTGAGTGAGGAAATGAATTCTAAAATGTCATTTGTCTTTAGTGAATTTAAATGACTATTTGAACAGACACGTGCAGCCTTTCAGAAGGCTCAGTGCCGAGAAGTCAGGAAAGACAGCCGATTTTCTTTGTCAAGAGGGATCCCTTTCCTGGCCTCAAGCACTCAAATGCTCACCAAGTAGCCAGCAGAAGAACGGTGTGGCATTGTTTCCATCAAAATTCCAGCCTTGGAAAAATGTTGGCAAATCTACTCTCCTCTGCCCTGTGGGGTCGCTATGAGTTAGAATCGACTAGAGGGGTGGGGGTGTGTGAATATGTTTGATAGCTTGCATTCATCCCGACCCAGAGAAAGGGAAGAACTCAGCTCTGCACTGGTTGGTTGGCCAGGGCAACCAGCCTGGGATTTTAAAGTGGTCCAGAGTACTTTCCATGTATTTAATCAAGAGCCGACAGAATGAGTTTTTTTCATGAACTTTCTGAAGCTCCCTTGTATATTATGGGATAGGACAAAATGCCAGGCTTCAATCTAGCAAGAATGACCATAAAACAGTTCTTTAAAGGCTGTTCCCTTCTGTAATTTCAAACACCAAAGGCTCCTTTCACTTTTGAATTGTAGTTCTCTTTTCTGGCCCCCCCTGGAGAGACATTTCTTTTCTTTTCTTTTTTTTTGAGACATTTCTGATAGGAAGTGCAGATTTAGGGAAATTTTAGAATCATGCAAAATGTTTTCACAGGTTTATTCCTTGAGGTCATTTAAGACCTACAACTACAGCACAGGCTATGAGGTAAGCCTGACAGTTATTGCTGGCTTGTTTTGTTTTGACTGGTGTGCTGTCTCTCCTACTTCTGACATATCTGGGCAGGTGGTCCACCGCCCCGCCTGTGAGCTTCTTAAGGTTAGGACCCCTTGTCCATTTTTACAGGCCTCGCCTCCAGCAGAGAGTCTGATAATAACAACAACAGATATGAATGGTCTTGGTAGATAATGCCCTCAGTAGATAATATGGTCACTTCTGTAGGCCTGTGGAATATATAAGACAAACACAGTCTCTAGTTCCCCAATTTAAAAATTATTTATTTATTTAAGAAGTTCCTTGGAACTTTTAAGAACCCAGAGAATCAGGTTTGATAGTAGGGGGTGCTTTTATCCCAAATTATTATGCCCTCAATTACTCAAGCTCCACCTCCTTCTGTTTGCCTTATCTTAGACTCACCTCACTTCAAAGCCCGAAACAAAAGAGCCTGCCATCTCCTCCCTCCTCCTATCCCCTGCACTTTACATCCAAGTTGTCACCCAAACCTAGAAAACCAGGTTTCCCCCCAGAATACCTTCCTCGCCTCTCTATCCCCTTTTAGAGCCCTAGTTCTGGCCCTTAGATCTTCCTTAGCCTGTTGTAGCAGTCTCCCAACTGAGCTTTCTGACTTTGGCCATTCTCCAGCTGCCTTTAAAAAGAATATCAAACTATAGTAACAATAACTGCGTCGTTCCTTTAGGAACCCTGGTGGCATAGTGGTTATGTATTGGGCTGCTAAATGCAAGGGCCGCCCTTGAAGACCACTTCGAGGGAGAAAGACAGGCCTTTTACTCCCGTAAACAGTTACACTCTGGGGAACTCACAGAAGCAGTTCTACCCTGCCCGAGAGGGTCGCTATGAGTCAGTAGGGACTCGATGGCAGTGAGTTTGTTTTTTTCTATCTGAGTGAAAGGTGTCCCCTAGTCTCAGCTGCCCTTCCTGGTTGGTGTCCTGTCCCTCCGATCAAGCACCCCCACTGCAATCGCATTCACATTCTCTGTGCCCTTCAGAACTCCAGATCTCTGTCCCTTTGTCCGGCACGCTCTCTTCTCTGCCCAATGCTTCCTTGTTTCTTACTCACCACTCCTTAAACTCAGCCCACACATCCGCTGAAAAAGCCCTCCCTGCATCCAGCCGGCTCCAACCTCCCTGAGTGCCCAGAGCACTTAGACAGGGACTTTTACTACGAGGACAAGGATGGGCTTGTGGACATCACTGACAAGTCCTCAGGAGCAACAATGACGTCCTATCAGCAGTGGGGCCCCAGAACCTGGCATGCAGCTTAAGTTTCCAGATGTGATTTAAAATGTTCTTTGAGTGCTAAAGTTCTTTCAAGCCCCAAATGGGGTCTGAAATAAAATGTGAAGAATTTTGAAAGGAAACATGTCCTGTGTCAGTTGCGGTGCTGGTGGGTGTCCTGGCGTGTCCTTTTCACCACACACACAGTAAAGGCGAGGAAGCAAAGAGGTGGGCCTCCTAGAGGCAGCACGTCTGGCTGCAGAGCAAGTGTGGAAAGTCACTGCCTGGTAAAACAGCGAGCCAGGCTCTGAAGCCTTTCCGAACTTGCTCAAGGTCATGGAGGGAAGGCAAAGACACAAATCCCAAGTTTCCTATCTCCAAATACAAGAAAGGGCTTCGGAAAGTCTCGGGAAATGTCATGAAAATAACCTGGCACTTTCTTTCTTTTTTTTTAAATCATTTTATTGGGGGCTCATACAACTCTTATCACAATCCATACATCCATCAATTGTGTAAAGCACATTTGTACATTCATTGCCCTCATCATTCTCAAAACATCTGCTCTCCACTTAAGCCCCTGGCATCAGGTCCTCATTTTTTCCCCTCCCTTCCCGCTCCTCCATCCCTCATGAACCCCTGATAATTTATAAATTATTATTTTGTCATATCTTGCCCTGTCTGACATCTCCCTTCACCCACTTTTCTGTTGTCCGTCCCCCAGGGAGGGGGTCACATGTAGATCTTTGTAATCAGTTCCCTTTTTCCAACCCACTCTCCCTCTACCCTCCCAGTATCGCCACTCACACCACTGGTCCTGAAGGGATCATCCGCCCTGGATTCCCTGTGTCTCCAGTTCCTGTCTGTACAGTGTACATCCTCTGGTCTAGCCAGACTTGCAAGGTAGAATCATGGGATCTTGGGATCATGATAGTTGGGTGGGGGGGAGCATATAGGAACTAGAGGAAAGTTGTATTTTTCACTTTGGGTCTCCACTCTGCACTCCTCGCCTCATTCACTATGGTAAGATTTTTTGTGATTGTACCGGCTGGTGTACTTCTTCCTTGTGGGCTTTGTTGCTTCTGAGCTAGATGGCCACTTGTTTACTTTCAAGCCTTTAAGACCCCAGACACTATATCTTTTTATAGCCGGGCACCATCACCTGGCAGTCTTTCAGTGGACTTTTGGAAGACTGGTCCTAGAGGCTTCAAAACTTTTTTTTGAATCACTAGAATAAGAAAGTAGCAGTGAATGTATTTCTACAGTGCACGATCTGTGCCATCATTGTTGTTTTACTCATTTCAAGTTGTGCACCTCTTAATCATCCTACCCCACCAGGCACTCTTAATGACTGACGGTCTTGGAACCCCTCTGACTGAGAACGGACTTGATGGCAGTAGGTTTGGGGCGGGCTTTTCTTAATAGTCTTCATCATTGTAGAAGGTAGATACTGTTATTGCCTCCATTCTATAGATGTGGAAGACGAAATACAGAAACATCAAAGAATGTGTCCAAAGTCACTCAGCTGGAAAGGAGGGTCAGTCTTGATTCTGGGTCCAAGCTCTTAAGCACGAGGCTGTGGGGGCCTCTCAATGCAAAATGGTTGCTGGTCCCTAGTGCCAGGACTCGAACACTCGCTCGCACGACCACAAGACCCCAACAGGTGTGAGCATGTGTCACTTGCCTTTCTCATCCCCGAGCTCCTTCTTCAGACCGTTTGCCCACCTTCTGAGCCCTGCCTTGTTCTCTGTGCCCGCATTCTCACCTGCTGTTTCTTCCTCGCAGAAGTGCATTAGCAGAGGGGAGCTCCAGGTGTCTCTGTCCTATCAGCCGGTGGCACAGAGAATGACAGTGGTGGTCCTCAAAGCCAGACATCTGCCCAAGATGGACATCACCGGTCTCTCAGGTAGCAGCTGTTTACTCCAACCTCTTTCGGACTGTCAGAAACCCTCCACACCAGGCTCCCTGGGGCCCTTCCCTCTCCCCTCCTCTCAGAGCCCTGCGTACCTTTCACTTGCCTGCTGACCCTCCCTGTCTCTCTGTCCTTTTCCTGGTGACTGCCTAGACCCCATGGACTCAGCTGGGAGGTGAGCAGGGAAATGAACGGGTTCTTGAGAGTTGGCAAGCTACCATCGTAAATACTGGACATGTGTAGCACTAAGCCCTTGCCCCAGGTGAGACTTATTAAACAAGGGTGCCAGCTCTGGGCAAGGCTCCTGGTCATTTGTTGTTGTTGTTCCTTAAGAACTCAGCTCTTTGTGAATCTGTATCCTTCAGCTTTTGTTAATAAGCATATATATTTTTAAGTATGTTTATTAATTGTGACTGAAGCGGCATTGGTTGCCTAGAGTCCCTGGGGAGGGTTGGAAGCTCTATTAGGGTGCCTAGTTCAGAACATGCTAGGTGTTGGTTTATTCAGAACATCCTTTATCTGATTTTAAATGCTTTCTGCCTAAAGCCCGGGGGTACTTGTGATGAAATTAATTCCTAGATATTTTCTGGTTAAAAGAAAGAAGAAAAAAAAAAAACAGGAAAGAAAGGAGAGAGGGAAGGAGGGAGAAGGGAAGGAAAAGATCGAAGGCATATGTTAGCGCCTTAAAAGGCTCCCCAGCAGGGCAATGGTTATTGTTGGGCTGCCATCCAAAAGCAGTTCGAAACCACCAGCTGCTCCTTGGGAGAAAGCTGCAGCTCTCTACCCCTGTCAGTCTCAGGCATTCACCTTGTCCTTGAGGGTCACCACGATGGCCGTGAGTTTCTTGTCTGGGTTTGATGACCGTAACAAAACTACTTCTGGGCCCCTTGAGGGTGCTTCAAGTCTGACTTGAGGAGGCTGTGGTTTCCTTCCCGCCTGGTGTCCTGGTCCCTTGTCCACGCAGGCAGATTCACATCAGTGTTGCTTGACCGTGTGAAATCCTTTAGGGACATCCTCACAGACTGACCCTGCAGTCACTGAAGAGTGTGGAGGGAGGGCCCCCCAATCTCTGAAAACCATATCCTCCTCCTCCCTGACCTGAACCTGCCGCCAGGACTGTGTCATAGGTCTGTCTCTCTTTCTCCCATCTCTTTGGGGGCCCAGATCCTTACGTCAAGGTGAACGTCTACTACGGCAGAAGGCGCATCGCCAAGAAGAAAACCCACGTGAAGAAGTGCACTTTGAACCCAGTCTTCAACGAATCCTTCATCTACGACATCCCCACCGACCTCCTGCCGGACATCAGCATCGAGTTCCTCGTCATCGACTTCGACCGCACCACCAAGAATGAAGTGGTGGGGAGGCTGATCCTGGGGGCGCACAGTGTCACAGCCAACGGGGCAGAACACTGGAGAGAGGTCTGCGAGAGCCCCCGCAAGCCTGTGGTCAAGTGGCACAGCCTAAGCGAGTACTAATCCCATCCTCCTCCCCCCTCACCCAGGGGCCAGGCAGGGGAGGGACCGGGAGGAGAGACGGGTAACAGAGGGAAGCAGACTCAAAACCTCATTTTAGTTGTGGAAGAACTTTTCTTACAAAACAAACCCCACCAAGAACACTCCAGATGGCCGCAGCCGCAGATCAGTCTTTACGATGATCGTTGCTCTCCTTTGCAAGGCACTAGGGAAGGGGGAACATTTTTGTTGTTGTTTTTCTTTTCATTTAAATGGAGGGGGGAGAGGGAAAGACCCCTACAAGTCTATATATAACAATGTAACCATATACTTGCATGTCTAATACAAACTGAAGAAACTAGCCTAACTACCAATATCAAGTTAGAGACCTTAATCCACGAAAATTGTGTTTTGTGCCGAATTGTATTGCTGATTACCTAAAATTGGCCTCCTTTTATTGGGCTTCTCTGGAGAGTCACTCTTCACCCCCACCCCCACTTCCCACCACCCTCCTGCAGAAGAAAATTTTGCTCTTGTAAAAAACAACAACATAAAAAACAACCCCTTATGTTTTCGTCCTCCCCATCTCTTCTCCTTATTACCTCTTACATCTTTGCTCCTTGGCTAAGTTCAAGGTCCAGAAGCCTGTAGTAAACCAAGAGAGGGAAAAAAAACGGTGGAATGAATAAGGCAGGGCTTGCTTGTGCGGGAGAAACAGTCCTTGGAAATTGAGGCTTCTGCGACCATTCCTCCTACTATGAAGGGGTCAGGGCACTCCAGGGTGTGCAGCCCGGATGAAGCCTGTACGACACAGCAGATGTAATCAAGTAGAACCTGGGTTTATAGAACAAGGGGACTTCGTCAGGAGCTTTGAGAACTGAGACAGAGTGACAGGACTGCATCAGGGAAGACACTCGCTGCTCCCCCATGCCATCTGCAGCATAAGGACAAGAAGAGGCGAAGCTCAGATGGCTGACGTCTGTGGAAGTGACAGCCGGGTGTTGGTTGATGGGCTGGGAATCATGGGAAGTTTGAAGGATTAGATTAGTCTTTGGTTTTCTAGAAAAAGTTAGGGTCTTCTTAGATGCTGCTATGCTGCTTTGATACATAAGGAAAAGGGCCCTCAGAAATGATTCTTCTCCTTGAGGTTTTTTTTAGTACTGATTCTTTAAAAAGAACCACTGTGGCTAACTGAGTCCTAAAGGTAGATAGGATTCTCCCAGAACACCCTTCCCCTCAAAACAAAGGGCTCACCTAGTTCTTGGAGCTCATGAGTCTTACTTCATGATGGAGAGATGAGGGAATCACAAGAGTTGAATCTTCCGTCTAACACTGGCCAAGAGAGGGGCAGGGGGGAATTAGAATCCCCCCCAGCATCGGGGATTAGAATCCAACCTCCTGACTCCTACCTGTTCTGGACACAACTCTAATGTGGAGACTTTTCAGATGGTGGTGGGGACTGTTGACAAAAAGTAAGCTTAGGGAAGCTGTCCATTCATTGCTGTTGTTTTCTAACCTAAAGAGGAAGAGTCCTGGTGGCCTAGTGGTGACACACGGGGCTACTAACTGCAAGGAAGAGGTCAACAGTTCGAAACCACCAGCCGTTCCCCAGGAGAATGATGGGCTCTCTACTCCCATAAAGACTTACAGCCTCGGAACCTCACAGGGGCAGTTCTGCCCTGTCCTATAGGGTCACGATGAGCCAGCAATGACTTTGAGTGAACCCGGAGAAGAACTCACATGAACCAGGACCCGAAAGATTAGCCAAGGGCGAAATGTCCATATTCATACCAGAATATCGCGCTTCTAACTTGCTTCTGAGACGTCAAAACTAAGCCTCTAATGGATAGGGTGGTGAACTTGCCTTGCCTGTGGTGTGTCCCTTAGCTCTCATGGATTTAAAATTCATCTGTCCCCCCCTCCTCCCCTAACCCCCAACTCAATCTTGAGAGGTGTAACTACCGCACTCTAGTCTCGTCCCTCCCCCCAGGATCTGACTCTCTCTCCCCATCAGTCGGATTCACACCACCTGTCTGTCCCACAACCCCATGGAATGTAAATACTGTATCATAACGTAGAAGAAAGTAATTTTTGTTTTCTAAGAAAAAAATAAATAACTAAAGATGCATTTTGAGATAGTTCCATGTAAATCTGACAGGAGCATTCCGAAATCCCATTAGGAGAAAAAAAAACATAAACAAAGGAAACGATTCCTCTTCATCGCCTTAATGTCTAAAGACAGAAATTGCTGAGCATCGCTTTGTTCCCCGCCCAGAAACCAGGCCTTGCTCCAGGTGGGGGTGGTCTGGTCTTTGCCCTGCTGTGTGCCTCTGCAGCGCCTCCAATGGACGTCTGGGGGAAAGCCTCGCCCTGCCCCTCCCTTCCCCATCTCTTCGTAGCTTTATTCCTGGCAGATTCTTTGGGTCTACCGAGCAGTGGGTGGTAAGGGGACCAGGGAGAAACCAGTAGTTCTGTAGCCTGGGAGCTGCCTCAGTGTCTTTCTCCGACAAAGCAAAGAGGTAGACAGGGCAGGGTGCCTCCCTACCTCAAGCCTGCTCCATCGTGCCCTGGACTTTGCTGTCCCAAAGTCCCTTAGCTGACTTCGGCTGTCGCATTACTCCTTCCAGAGTTAACTGAAAAGGGTAGAGGGGGATGCCACCTCCTCAGGGTCAGTTGGAAGACAAGAGTCACATCCTTAGCTTTTGCACAAGGCACTTGTGGTCAGGAATAGGTTAGGGAATGGTCACTGCAGATTTCCCAAGAGTCATTCCATCTCTGTGGACATCTTGATTCCTTTGGGAAGACGAGAAGGGTTGTTGTTGTTTCTAACTGAAGTCCGTGGATGAGTTATTCCTTCTTTCAGTTCTTCTCGGTGGAGCACAGCCCAGATGCACGTGGTTAGCAATAGTGCTCTCGATAGGCAAACACAACTGGCTTGTGGGATGGGACAGTTGCTCAGGAGAGGGAACAGTGTGAGTCCCTTTCCTTGGAAGACTTTTCCGCTGGCCAGGACAGTGACATTGCCCTCACCATGACCCCTCTCCAATGTGGTCATCTTTCTTGACCTTGTGTCTGCTCTTGTAAAAATAAAACTCAAAAATAAAATCGGTGTGTCAACATTAAAAAACAAACAAGTGAAAAAGCTAACATGAATTGTGTGAAGTCACCTAACGCTGTAACGCTAACCTGCACTACTATGTCATGCTACCTTGTATGTTGGATTTGTTAATGCACCACACCAGTGCAAAATAAAGACCGATTCACATGAACCAGGCGCCATGCCAGCGTGAGTCTCTGGGAGACTGTGAATGGAGTCCGTGCGCAGCACCAAGAGCGGGTTGCAGGGCGTGTTTCCCAAAGTGTGGCTTCCAGACCGTCGGATGCAGAATCTCCGGGGTCACTGGGTTAAAAATGTAGGTTCCAGGCTCCAGTCCTAGCGAGTCCCTTTGCTGGGGGATCTGGCTTGGTTTTGTCAGCAGGCTAAGTTTAAGAATTCTGGTGCTTGTGTTTCTGTTTTCTCCTCCCCGAGGGAGAGAGAATGTGTTTCTAGTGTCAAGAATTGGTCAGTCCCTTTAGTAGGAAATACACTCCCCCAAATGCAGTGCTGAGATGGGCCAATGCATCCATATTGACTGAGAGCCTCTGATAAGCTAGAGTGCTTTTGAGGAGCTTAGCGGAAGATAGGCATTAAGAGAAGAATCACACTCGTGTCTAACTACAAACTGAGGAGTGCCCGAAGAAGAAAAGAAACAGAGGTCAATGCCACACTCTGGGGTCATGCACAGGGCCCACAGGGCCAGAGCAACTGTCCCTTGTGGTCTTCTCTGCTTGCCTTCAAGTCCGGAATGATTCACGTTTCATAGTTCTGTTCTATATACATTACCCAATGTGGCTGGGGCTAGAGGAAAAGAGAGGGCGCAGGACAAACCGTCCCTACTCTTTTGAAGTCTCTGTAAAGGAACTGAAAGCCTTTAAAAGTTACAATACAAACGTGGGCCCAGAGGAACCCTGGTGTCCCCGGGATCTCTCACTCGCTGGGCTGCTTACTGCAGAGTCAGCGATTCAAAACCATCAGTTGCTCTATAGGAGAAAGGAGGGCTTCTACCCCTGTAAAGAGTGACCGTTTCAGAAACCCACAGGGGCAGGTCTGCCCTGTTCTAAGGGTCACTGTGAGTCAGGACTGACCCGACAGCAGTGAGGTTTAGTACACAGGCACAAGATTAGGAAACTGGAGGAGAAAAACAATTCAAGATCCTCAAACCTTAACAACCGTAGATGTGTTTCCAGTCTTATTTCCTACATGTTTTTCCTTTTCCCGATATGCCACCAAAAATCATTGTAGAATAAATAAGTTCCTAAAAGACAAGAACTGTTCATTTTGGGCACATCTCCTTGCCATATATTTTAGCTATTTTATAATTGCAATCAATTTTGCATAAATTTTTTCTAGGTAGCAATTTTTTAAAAGTAACAACCAGGTTCCAGAAGAAAATTGTGGTAGGATTATTTGTTTTAATATCAGTTAGGATACTTTGGGCTATAAGTATCAGTAAACCCAAAGATCCTTGGTGGTCTAGTGGTTATGCATTGGGCTGCTAGCTGCAAGGTCAGCAGTTCGAAACCACCAGTCATTTCTCGGGAAAAAGACGAGGCTTTCGATGCCTGTAAAGGTTGACGCGGTGGCCACAACAAGCTCCGGCATAGGGACAATTGTGAGGATGGTGCAGGAGCAGGCAGGGTTTCATTCTGGTGTGCACATCGTGACCATGGGTCAGAACCGACTTGATAGCACCGACCAACAACTAACAAGGAGTTCTAGTGCTATACCCTGTCTTACAGGGTCCCTCTGAGCTGGAATTGACACAGTGGCAGCGAGCTTGCTTTCGGTTACCAGCAAACATCATCAGATTGACTTAGAGATTAAGAAGATGCCTTGGTTCACCTAACTGCTAGTCGAAAGGCAGAGTAGGCTTCAGAAGTGCTTATGGAAAACATCAGATAACTTCAAGTATACGAGTTGTTTTTCTGTGGGTCAACATTTATTTCAGGGTACAAGAGACCCCAATCCCAAATATAATATAAGAAGAACATTTATTAAGTCTTAAAAGGGACAGATATAAGACACATCACCCAGATGAGGGAGGCCATTAGCATGAGCTCAAAAATGGCATCTAAGGATTCATACTGGGGACACTAGTGACGTAAATAAGGCATGAAAGAAAGGGAGTGTCACAAATTCATGATCGGTGGTGGACCGATACATCACAGTTACAGTGGTTTTACAGGAGTAGGCACAGGGCCATGATTGGGACATGTACATTATGTTAGATAGAAGAGCTTACACAATTGGGCCAGAGCCTTTGGACCAAATCAGTCGGCAAGACTGATAGGACCTGACTCATGACTGTGTGACTCCCTTTACTGTCCCCAGGAGCCCTGGTAGTAGAGTGGTTACTTGCAGTTAGCAGTTCGAAACCAACAGCCCCCTCTGTGGGAGAAAGACGAGGCTTTCAGCTCCCCTCAAGAGTTACAGTCTCAGAAACTCACAGGGGCAGTTCCACAGGGTCACTATGAGTCAGAACTGACTCGATGGCAGTGAGCACTGTCCCAAGGACCGTGATCTACATCGAGCACATCCAGGCAAGCCCCCTGAGCCACTGCCCCTCCCCGGGCTGGCTAGAGAGGAGTGGAGGGAATCCTCCTTTCACATGCATTTGGTCTGAGGGAGGTCAAGATGATCTACAACCTTGCTTAATGATCAGAAGGAATTCAGTGGAGGATTAATCTCTGTGTCAGACTCTGCAAACAGATTTGGGGCCAGTCCCTGTCATCCACGGCCTCCTGCAAACTGGGATGTGCAGGATTGAAGCTCTAAGAAATACTCACTGTTAACACAATCTCTAGGCTTGCCTCTGACATTTATGGAACCAGTTTCAGGACTCCGTGCCTCCACGTTCACAGTCTGGAGGAAAGAGGACATTCCTTCAGGTCTTCTTCCAAAAACTAAGGATGACTGGTTGCAGGGGAGAAAAGCAAAATGTCGCCAAGTCAACTCTGAGTTACCATGGCCCACAGTCTGTGAGCAGAACGGGCTCTCTCGCGTTTCCGTGGCAGAGACTTTAGAAGTAGACTGCCAGATCTCACTTCCAACTCGCTCCTGGCTTATGTGTCCCACGGTCGTTTCTGAGCCAAGGCGGGAATGACCTTCAGGCCATGTCAGGGCCCCCTGGAGCTGTGGTGGGCGAAGGCTGTATCCCTGAAGACAACACCTGTTTGGAAACAAGAATGAGTGGTAGGTGGGCTGCCAGCACGAGTGCTGCACCTCGCCCCCACCCC